TATTCCTTATTTACTTGTTCTATTTTTTATTTATTTTTATTTTTTATTATCTGTGTTTTTTGTTCTGTCACTGTCATTCTGTTACACTGTGGAAGCTTCTGTCACGAAAACAAATTCCTCGTATGTGTAAACATACCTGGCAATAAAGTTCATTCTGATTCTGATTCTGATTTTAATCATGATTTTTAAAAAAAGATTATGCATATATTCATCTGATTTAATATGGCTTGGAAATCACAATTTTAAAAATGTCATTTATGATTACTTGGTTAGTCTGGATTACAGGATTAAAAATCATATAGTTTGCAATCAACTTTTATATAAATATGTCCTTTTTCAATCATGATTTTAAAATCATTGTATGCATATCAGGGTTATTATAATTAATTGAAACTAAAATTAAAACTACAAATTAAAATATAAAAAATTTAAATAAAAGTATTTTAGTTTAAGTACTGTAATAACTAAAAAGTTCTGAAAATACAAACTATATAGACATTTAAAAAACTAATAAAATTACAAAAACTAAAAAATGACTAAAACTTCAACAAAATTTAAAATGAAAATGGGAAATATAAAAAAATAAAATAATTAAAAATATTAATAAAACTATAATAGTATATGATGATACTAAAACCACACGCACGCACGCACGCACGCACGCACACACACACACACACATATATATATTACTATAGAAATGTCTTTTTTAATCATTACTTTTAAAAATGTTATGCATCTCAGGGTTATTATACTTAATTCTAACTAAAATTAAAACTACAATTTAAAATAATTATAGAATAAAAATACTTTTTAGTTTAACTTTATGTACTAAAATAGCTAAAACTATTTACAAAAAAACAACAAAATTACTAAAACTTTAACAAAATCTAAAATAAAAATCTGCTTTTATTGTCCTCATTTGTAAGTCGCTTTGGATAAAAGCGTCTGCTAAATGACTAAATAAATAAATAAATAAATAAATGTTCTGATATTTTCAGGTTTCCTTTGCCAGAAGTAACCTATGCAATACAGTACTTGCTTTTATAAAGACTTTAATCTATTAAAACACATGATTGACACCCAGTATCATTTCTTCAATCCTGCGCTGTAATGCTTTAGGCTCTTTTGAAAGTGCAACCGGTTACATTTGCAGTGAAAAGATGATGAAATGCAATGCGAACGTACTTATCATGCATTGAGAATACTTTTTTCTAATGCATTATATATACAAGCCTCAAGTCAAGTATTACCATCTTTCTCTCTTTGTCATTTTTTGAGCACTAAACACACATTTGAAGGCTTGCGACCCTTTGACTGGTTTTAGAGCGAGGCTGAATCTTTAATGCTGTAAAGCAAATGTAAGAATGCCTGAGGGGCTGCTGACATCTGAACGGGGGTTTATTGATGCATTTCGAATGAAAGATGATGTTCCTCCATCTCTTTGCTCATCACTGTGAAGTTACACTGAATGTCATTTTAGTGGGTGTCTTTTGTAAATCATGGTGATAAATGTATGAAAGTCATTATTTTTTGCTTAGAAAAAAATAAAACAGGAGCCATTCTAATGTACGGAGAAAAAAAAAAAAAAATTAAAGCTGTATTATTAACCTTTTATTGTTTTGATGTTTGAAAAACCCTTTTTGCCTTTGATCCTCATTATTTCACTAAAACTATCTTAAATAGTTGATCTGTGAACAACAGAATATGTTTAACTTGTCAAAGATGCAGCAAACAAAAATGTAAGTGTGGCACAAATGTGTTTTGCAGTATTTATACAATTTCTTTTACAGTATTTATATAATTTATACAATTATAAAGTTTTCAGTGTTGCACATCTTGACCACCTTGAAATTATAATTAGTCATTCTCACGTGTACATGCGTATAATGCTAAAAGACTATTATGATTTTGGGGCATGTGTCTTCTGTTCTGTTCTGATTCAGAAAAACATGCAATCAGTGTTGTGTTTTTTCTAAATAGTATAAAGTATATGGTATGTTGCCATTTGAAACATTATACCACGGAGAGAAATTCATGCTGTCAGATAGTGGGTGGACGCTAAAGTAGAGAAATTCTCAAAAAACACAATACGCAGCGGAGTGAGTCAACATCAACCGAGACCGCCCACCATATATGCAGGTGGCAATAAATTAATGTTGCTGAAATAGAATACATCAGGTCGCTACATATGCTGAATAAATCAGACGTGGATGGTAAATGGGTTTCGCACTGCGTACAGAGGGAAGGCTGTTTAATTCCGCAGTGTCCAGGCCTTAGAGTTTTAGGAATCAGTTTCACGCTGTGTGGCTTTAAAAAGGTGAGTCCCTGCTGATGGGGGCCACGCGTAATTTATTTCATTTTCCCAAATGCCATTTACCCTTCCATCCGCTTCCGCAGACACGATGTGTTTACTCAAACAATAGAAGAACTGATTTAAAAAAGGGCTGAGATGGAAATGCTGTGATCCTCTGTTCATGTGGAGAAAATGTGTGGGGTGGTCGGCCAGCACAGGGGTTGCCAGGTCTGCGTAACAAAACTGGCCCGTTGGCCAATCAAAAATAGCCCAGTGACCATATCCAAACTCGATCAGAACTCGAAAGTTTCACGCTGTGTGGCTTTAAAAAGGTGAGTCCCTGCTGATGGGGGCCACGCGTAATTTATTTCATTTTCCCAAATGCCATTTACCTTTCCATCCGCTTCCGCAGACACGATGTGTTTACTCAAACAATAGAAGAACTGGTTTAAAAAAGGGCTGAGATGGAAACGCTGTGATCCTCTGTTCATGTGGAGAAAATGTGTGGGGTGGTCGGCCAGCACAGGGGTTGCCAGGTCTGCGTAACAAAACTGGCCCGTTGGCCAATCAAAAATAGCCCAGTGACCATATCCAAACTCGATCAGAACTCGAAATATGCAATTGCCATACCTAAAATACATATTTCACAGTCATTGTTATGCAAATTGAAAACCACTATATTGTAGTGATCATAAAGACAGCTCAAAGGCTCCTTACCCATGGCCGTCCTTCAAAAAACTTAACATCTACCACAGTTTTATCATTTGTAGAATATAAAATATTTCAATTCAAATATAATTTATGCAGTATGTCAAACCATTAACTCGCAGGGGAAAAATTCCATGGGAATGCAGACTCGGCAACCCTGGACTAGTAATTCTGTTAGCATAAAAATACTTTGCAGATGTAAAAAAAACAAACAAACATTTTTTTCAATTTTTTTTTATTAAATACAACTGAATCCTCAAACAAAAGTGTAAAAAAAGCAAGTACACAAGTGGTATATATAATAATTATAATAACAATGATAGCAATAATAATCCATATACCAACCAAGTGGTAGTGCATTCACTGACTTTTTCCTATACAATTCCATAAAGGTCATCGCACACAAATTTCTTACTTTTTCCTCTTATTCTCATTTCTTTAAATGTCAACACATCATAAAACACAAGCGCAAACACATACTGCAGGCATGTAGGACTACTCCCCAACATTTGGTCATAAACATCAACCTGACCTAACTAGTTCCCTCAATGATAAATTCATTGCACTCTTTTTCCATTCCCCCATTCATTACTTGCAAGAGTGGAAAATATCTGATGCACCTCAACAACAGGAAGTCACACACAAAAAAGTGGATGGAAACAGTTTGGTCTCTCAAACAAGTATTTTGCACCACAGTCATTTTGCTACAGTACAGAAAGAAAACAGCACTTGGTTCTTTGTTGCCAACTGTGGTGAACGAATGATAAAACACTGAATGTTTTTCTTTGAACAACACAGCTCATATTTGGCTGATTTACCTCTGTCCACAACAGGATGCAGCACCTCATAATTCTGGACCCCAAAACAGTTAATCAGTTCTTATCTGGTGGTTCGAATGCTTCTTGTTGGCTCCAAGTCAAACAAAATCCTTCATTTTGGTTCCTTGGTCATGTATCCATAATCTCCCGTGCTGGAGTGGGTTCATGTGGGAGGCTCGTAGCATTCGGAAGAGCTTGTCCATGTCCCACCGAGTTCTGCTGGACTTCCATGGGAATTCCGGTTGCGTTCTCTCGATTTGGGAATTCACGCGACTGTTTCCGGTACTCGAGAAAGGTGCATGCCTTGGTCGCAATGGCCACCACGTTTTTGCCAACGAAGATGGTGGAAACCCGGCTGTCCTGGAAGAGCACCATGTTGACGCCACGTATGAGGATGGTGACGATGTTAATGGTGACCAGACTGAGAAGAGGATAGAGCATCATCTTCTGAGGGGACACGTGGTCACCCTGCACGCTGATCTCACTCAGGGACACGCAGGGAAGAATCAGAAGCAAAATGTAGCAGTAGAAGAACATCAAACCTTCCGCCCAAATGGGCAAACCCGTCCGCTGTGGCTCCCAAAGATTTGCCTGCATATCCAGCAGGTCCAGCAAGTCCAAAGCCACCCAGAAGAGCCGACCCCTCATGTCCTCCTTCCTCCGAAAGGTACGGACATATTCCATGCTGTCCAGAGCCACCAGAACCAGGTAGAGGCCTGGCACACAAATGGACAACAATAAAGTCAAAGCCTTCCGGGCGACAGTCTCCAGACTCTTGCGATCAGCCTTACAGTTCTGGAAGACAAAGTAAAGCTTGATCTCCAGCACGAAGATATAGAGGAACCAAAGGATCATAGCGTATCCTCGTCGAGCCGTCCGCACTTCTGCTCCAACCCAAACCGCCACATACCGGAGGACAATAAGAAAGCAGACATCCCCAACAAGGACAATGATGCAGACGCCGATCTTTCGTGGCCCCTGATTCTGCTCCACCAGGTAGGCATCCATGAAGGCCATGCTGGTCATGATGACAAAGGTGGTAAGACACACATGCCGCTTGTCCGGTGGTGGCAACACCATGCTGAGGGCCACCACCGCATGCACTCACTCACAGCAATGTCGTCCACTCTATTGCACTTGGGTTTGAAGGACTCTTGAAGTTGCAGGTCGAGCTTTGCAGGACTGGTTGGAGCGATTGTTTTTCAACCCTTTGAAGGCATTTGCATTTCCTGTATTTCGTAAACTTAACCCAGGAACAAAGTAAAAAGAAATTACTCTACCAAAAAGCCAATTTCTTCCAACTGACAGTTTGATTCACACTGCTTTGCTAGGGTTGTATTGATTGTAAATCTGAAGGAATAGCGTTAAATTGTACAAAGGGCCAAAAAAGGTATACAGTAGGGCTACTTTGCAATGGAAATGCAACTCTTGAAGACTGAAGAGACCTAGTTTCACGATCTTGATCTCTGCAAATGATTCTTCTCTGATTGATTGTAAATCTGAAGAAGCCGTGCTAAATTATACAAAGTTCCAAAAAAGGTTCAGAGCAGGATTACTTTTTCAATAGAAATGCCACTCTTGAAAACCGAAGAGACCTGTTTCACAGTCTTGGTCTTGGCAGATAGTTCTTCCCTGATGCACTAAATGGAAGAGAAATCTGCCCATTAATCAACAGGGTCAAGCTTTAATGTGCTGGTAGGAGTGGCTGCCTTTTCAACCCAGTTCTGCTAAATTTGAAGGCATTTATATTTCCAATGTTTTGTAATTTTGATGCAGGAACAAAGTAAAAATAACTTATTTGACCAAAAAAGCAGTTGCTTCCAACTGACAGTTTGATTCACTGCTTTGCGAACCAAAGAGACCCGTTTTACAGTCTTGGTTTTGGCAGATGATTATTCTCAGATTAACTGTAAATCTGAAGAAATAGTGTAAAATGATACAAAGTTTCAAAAAAGGTCTAAAGCAGAATTACGTTTCAATAGAAATGCAACTTTTGAAAACCAAAGAGACCTGTTTCACAGTCTTGGTCAGACTTGGCCTATTAATCAGCAGGGTCAAGCTTCGCTGGTTGGAGGTGCTGCTTTTTCAACCCAGTTCTGTGAATTTTGAAGGCATTTGCATTTCCAATATTTAGTAAACTTGAACCAGGAACAAAGTAAAAAGAACTTATCCTACTAAAAAGCCAATTGCTTCCGACTGACAGTTTAATTCACACTGTATTGCAAGAGTCGTATTGATTGTAAATCTGAAGAAATAGTCTTAAATGATACAAAGAGCCAAAAAGGTCTAGAACAGGGCTACTTTGCAATGGAAATGCAATTCTTAAAGGACCGAAGGGACTTGGTTTCACAATCTTGGTCTTGGCAGATGATTCTTCCTCAGCGCACTAAATGGAAGAGAAATCTGCCCATAAATCAGTGAGGTTGTATTGATCCTGTTAGACCGCACGCCTGCCCGACCTCAGCATTCTTGATGAGACGCCATAACTTTCCTCTTTCACGGTCATGCGATTGGAAGGTGATGTGAGGATACATGGGCTTTCCCGGAAGCTTTGCATGCATTTGCTGGATTGTGGGTCAGAGTTCTCCAGGCTAAGTACGGTTGTGGTAGGTTATTTTTCTCGTAACAGGAAGGTAACTGAGAAAATCGAGCATAGGAACTGAACGTTCAGACTGTAGATACTCAGCAATTACCGAGCAACATTTGTTTGCGTCTGCCAATGTGGAATTGCTCAGCAGTGGAAGATTGACTCTTGAGGCATGGTGGTCTCCATCCATAGATCATACGGACATGGGGTCAGTGGCTCCAGGGGCTCCACATCTGTCTATGGCTCCCCCAGGGGGAATCTCTTTTACTAGGCTTCAGTTTCATCCTCGCCTGCTCTTCTGACACGACCTGGAAAGAGAGGAAAGAAAACGAGCTGTCAGCACAAAGTGGATAATAAATCACGACTCACCGCTTGGAGCCAACAGCATATCCGGTCATGCCATTGTGTCAGCATCATTTAAAGACATGCGATAACAACATTGGGGAAATACACAGTTACGCGGCCACTTATTCATTTGCACTTTTTAATAAAACAGGGGATGCTCACAAAACTGCACAATCCTGTGCAATAAACCAAGACGATGTTCCAGCATTGATTTAAGCTTCACATGCAGGAGAGTGGAAGCCAAGCAGTGCAAAAATGATTTCTTCTTTTTTTTTTGGTCTTGTTTTCCATTACAAATTTCTCAAATTTTTTAAATCAGGATACTTTAGAAGTAAAATGACTTGTTTCTGGAAAAGTCTTGTTTCTTAAAAAATTATGAAAATTACACAAGTTTATGTTTAAAATGAGAAAAAAAAATGTAGGTGGAGTAAGAAAAAATATCTTGAATATAAGTAATTTTTTCTTACCCCACTGACAAATACTGATAGATATGCTGATAAGATGTTTTAAGCATTAGTTTACTTTATTCTGATATTTTTGTCTTTTTGTTTCTTAAGTAAATGTATCTTTATGCTTTGTACTGGAAAGACAAAAATGCTGAGATAATCCGTTTTTGCAGTGAGAACTGTGAGAGAAAAAGCTCAAAGGGTCTGTGAGGATCCACTCAAACCTTTTTTAGTTTTTGATGTTAGAAAGATACAGATTTTATAATTTGGACTTTTATTTAACATGTCATAAGTGCATGTCTTTTTTTTATGAAATGTCCATGAAATGTCTTTGATCTTTGATATTTATTTAATCACAGATAAATATTTTATTGCTCAAAACTGCCTTTTCATCACACACGAAAATGACTTGTTTCTGGAAAAGTCTTGTTTCTTAAAAAATTATGAAAATTACACAAGTTTATGTTTAAAATGAGAAAAAAAAATGTAGGTGGAGTAAGAAAAAATATCTTGAATATAAGTAATTTTTTCTTACCCCACTGACAAATACTGATAGATATGCTGATAAGATGTTTTAAGCATTAGTTTACTTTATTCTGATATTTTTGTCTTTTTGTTTCTTAAGTAAATGTATCTTTATGCTTTGTACTGGAAAGACAAAAATGCTGAGATAATCAGTTTTTGCAGTGAGAACTGTGAGAGAAAAAGCTCAAAGGGTCTGTGAGGATCCACTCAAACCTTTTTTAGTTTTTGATGTTAGAAAGATACAGATTTTATAATTTGGACTTTTATTTAACATGTCATAAGTGCATGTCTTTTTTTTATGAAATGTCCATGAAATGTCTTTGATCTTTGATATTTATTTAATCACAGATAAATATTTTATTGCTCAAAACTGCCTTTTCATCACACACCAGACATGACTGGGTTCTCAGTTTTGTTTCCTTTAAGTATCAACTTTGGCTCTGATGTTTCTCATATAATTCCTTAGAAAATAGATTGACATGCAGTAAGTGTATATAGGCATAAAATGAACATGAGTAGCAGTTCAGATCATTCGATCTGGGAAGAATTGGATTAGAAGTGTTGTGTTCACATCAAGATCTGAGATGTGATTGCAAACGCTGGTATCTTGGCAGAAGTGAACATGGTTTGAGACATAGTTGAAACTCTAGAGGAGATTACTTGGGTAATTTTTCCTGAGGACCAGAAGACTTCAGCAAAAAATTACTCTCAATTTACATTTGCTCTCAATTTAATCTAATTTCTGTCAAGGAGAAACAATTGAGCTATTAGGGGATCACATTTTCTTTTCTACAGGATCATTGAGCTTGAAAGTTGGCTGAAGGAAAAGGTGAGATTTGATTACTGTTGAAAGAAATATCTAAGGAACACACTCTTGTAGTGATTCACAAGGCAACAAATTAACACAAAATTATTTTTTTTTTACTCTAAGAAAAATATGTTCTTTTTAAAGACTAATGTTTTAACAAATGTAAGTACGGCCTGTATGACAAAGAATGAGGACATTTCTAATCATGCATTTGATGGATTCATGCAGGTCAATAAACTTCCATCATTAATAATTCAAGCTGAGAGACTGTGGAACAGTGTTTGGAGATCCATTTAGACCGACCTGTTTAATATTCACAAACTGAGCCGCTGGCGTTTGTCTGATAGCCAAGGTCGCAGGAGTGCTAATCAACACACTGGGTTGACATTTCACTAAAATTAAGCACAAATAATGAAAACTCGATACAAAACACAGCTCAATCTTCATCCGAAGTCTCATCCCAAATTAAAGTATCAATCTGAAAAATGGAAGAAAAACAACAAAGATTTAACTGGAACTAAGACCAGGTAATTTGAGTGTGTTTTTAATACAGACCATCAAGAGATGAGTTAAGCTCTCTGTCATGTCCAACACAATCTTATTAGCATTTGGCAGAGTACACAGATAGCAGACATATATCTCATTTCTATGCTTGTCAGCTCAGAACGGGGGCAGATTTAAATCAGTGTAATAGTCTACAGAATGATAGATACTTCACTCTGATCCAGCCTAAATAACATGAATATGCTACTTAATAAGAAAACATTGATTTTTTTATTTCTGTGTCTGCTTTGCTATTCTGGAAAAATATTAATTTCTCTTTTTTTTTTTCAACCAATTTCCCAAATAATTACATGAAAATTCCAGTGACATTAATATGCATACTGTCATTTACAATACTAATTTACAATACTACTTAGATGTGTAAACGTACAGTTTAACAGTAAAATGTTTCATTTGCAAATGTACATTTAAATCACATTATTTGTAATGAGAACAAGTACTTAACCATTGTGCTGTGCTGAAAATCCTTCATCTAATTTGGTATTCCTTTTATAAATTTCTTGTAAAAATCACCAAATCATTGATTTAATATTTTTGTCAACTTGTTTTCTTTCAATTCGCACAAGTCATCACCGATTTGGCAACATACACTAAAAAAATTCAATCAATGAGGCATATGATCAAAAAAAAAAAAAGTTGCTAAAAAGATTGAATCCAATATTTATTAAAGAGGTCATATGATGCTGCTAAAAAGAACATTATTTTGTGTATTTGGTGTAATGAAATGTGTTTATGTGGTTTAAAGTAAAAAAAAACACATTATTTTCCACATACTGTACATTATTGTTTTTCCTCTATGCCCCGCCTTTCTGAAACGCGTCGATTTTTACAAAACTCATCGGTCTGAAAAAGCGAGGTGTACTGTGATTGGCCAGCTGTATTTCCTCAACGACCAGCACGGATCAGCTCTAGGTATGACGAAGCGGATATCGTCCTCTTTTGGAAGACCAAACAAAGT